CGTTTGCCTGCCCAGACGTGATAGTTCAGGTGCGTCCAGTATGCACCTGTGGAGTAGTGGTAACACACCTCGTATGTCAGATGTCTGGGATCCACACCCAGCATGACCGGGGAAACGCATTGATGATGGGCTCTATCTAGAGGGAAAACCGAGTCCGGTGCTTTTCCGTTTAGTGTGGACTCATCAGGATAATTACGCTAGAATATGGCAACATATTTCGAAACTCATCATCAAAGATAGCAACATCAGTGTTGACACTGACGTTTCACCGCCGCACTCTTTCCAAACCAGAGTGATGTGAATGTGAGTACTACAAATCCCATCAACGTCCAGAACATAATGATAGCCCCCTCACTTTTTCATCCTGGCCACCGCGTACTTCTGAATTTCCATCTGTTTTGCACCTTTTGCACCCACCGTTCACCTAGCCGCAAAAACCAACCCGTCAGACATTGGTATATTATCATGTGTGTACGCATCACTTACCTACTTAGCCGCGCCTGCACGTCTCCGTCTGCTAGGCCTGCTGTGAATTACGCTGTCGTGATTTCTGTGTGATCGTACTGCCAGTCAGAATCAGGCCTCCAGTATTTCGCTCCCCTTTGCTTAATGTACGGATCTTGACACTGCGTGGCGCCAGAAAGTAACAGATTGGCTGATATGCTGACACCAAGAGCCTGGCCATTTGAGGCTCGTGTAATTTTGCCAACCTTTGTGTAAATAGTACCGTAGACTTTTGAACCCAACTCTTCCTTTTGCTATTCAGAGCCATCAAACCTAAGGCCTCATCATCAATATAATTTTCACGCATGCCAATATTAAAGACTAAATGAATTCTATTTCCAGACCATGTAGCATCCGATATCCAGAAAGATTCAAATTGAGACTTCTATACCAGACTAGCTGAACTGTATGGAAATAAATAGGGTCAGTCCCAAAACTGTCTAGCTAAACCAGGCTACCTGAAATGACCCCATGGCAAATGAACCTCCCCTGCAACTACTTTTTGTACCTCTCAGCTTAGGATTCCTTCAGTGGTAACCGCCTGTTAGCTGCCGAAATCAGGAAAACTGCACTTTGGAGATCTCAACTTTCGTTTTCAAATTTGAATGCCCGAGAATCTGTCATTGTGTAGTTGAGCCTGCTAGCACGCAACAACCACCACCGAGGCTAACTTAATCAATATAAATCACAATGTCAAACTTGCCCAATATTTTAGCGTTTTTCAGCGAGCACAACCAAATCGCCCCAAAGTCACCTTCATAACTCAATTACAAGGGTCATAGCGGTCGTCATGAGGCACAACATAAAAGCAGTGATTCTAACTTGGCCAACCAATCGCTCCTCTCCAGTGAAACAAATTGGCGTAGCTGAACTCGTAATTAGACATCACTAGACGGCACTTTTGCATTCCCGCGTATCATGTTTTATTCACATGTATTAACGCACTC